TGCTGGTATTTTTTAGGGTTGGGGACCAGAGCTGTCCAAGAAAAGCTAAAATTTATGCATATTTAGATTATTTTTTCAGAATTGGCTGATCCAAATGAGGATCACATTAAAAGTAAAATGCAACAAATTATAACGTACAGCTGTCAGATTTAATGCAATTTCATTAAAAAGGAAATTTTGGAATTTTTATAACCTTTTACCTCTAATCCATGAGAATACAGTACAAATTTGCAAAGAAGCAAACTAGACAAAATCGTGCTTTGCATTTTAATTTTATGTCCATGAACTTAACCTTTGCATATTCAATTATTTCTGTAAATTGTGGATTAATTAGATGAATTGGAAGATAAACACAATCACACAAATGTGAATAAATGGTGTTTAATTTAAAGTTGTTTTCCAGAGGCTTTAGTAAACAATGGCAAAAGAAACCAGGTGATGCTGGCAGATATTTATTGGACTTGCTGTATCACATTTCCTGCCTGTAGACTGACTAAATTCTTTTTCATTTGGCATCAGAGATGAAAAGCTGATCTCCAAGTTAGTCTGTCACATCTTTCTGTGACAGACGGTGCACAAAAAGTGCAATTCAAACCAGAAAGACTCAGTTTGGCACTTACAGTGTCCGTATTCACGCCCAAAATGTCTGATGTCTGTTCACATGTGGAGCACATTTAGAGGCTGTAATTACATGTTGACAACATTTATTAGACATTTTAATGAGTTTATTCTGATCTGATTTGGTTACACAGGGGGAATTCTGTGCAGCTTGATACCACTCCTTCAAATTGCTCATATTGGAAGGATTACTGTTCATATTATTTGATTACACAAAGATAATTTGGGTAATTGGAAAAAGAAGCCCTCTAACTCCTGAACTAGATTGACCTTTGGTGTATTTAGATAAATGAAAGCTTCATGTTTCTTCTACATTTAATGAAATCAGTATAAGTGTAGAACTGTGGATAAATTATAGTAAACAAACTGACGCAACGTGCCTTTTTTCATAACCACAGTTGGTGCTCATTTGGTTAAATGCTGAGCAAATTAAGGCTGACACCCCTTCAATAGTAATTCAAGAACTTCTCGTTTATGGTTTACAATTTTGAGATGTACTCAATTTGTGTTGCTGAGGTGAAATTAGCAGATTCTCAGGAAATGTTTTGTGAAATTATAATATTCAGTCTCTGAATAAAGTTGATGTCGTGACTGGCAAAATCTGACAGCTGTGGTTGCATCCGACTCTCTGTCAAGACTTGTTACAGTGCTGTGAAGTATACCACCCACTGCAGTTTTCTTAAATTTTTTTGTTCCACTCAAACATTTCAAAACATGAAACAAACTTTAATATTGGACAAGACAACCAGAGTTGGTAGGGAAAAAAAAAAGTCTTTCTTGTGATAATTTTGTTTTAGGGGCAAAAAGTTAGCTGGGCCAACCAGGTCCTATGTGTTAAACAAACAAACAAACAAAAAATTATGTCTTACATTACAAAATGACTGTGATTGACTGCATTTTTAAGAGTTCACATTTCCACTGACCGCATTCAGACCTGATTTCTGCCAGACTAACAAAATAATAATAATAATAAAAAAAACTTAAAATAGAATCTGTTTGACAGCATGAAGTTGGTTAAATTCTATCAAAAAGCAAGACATAATGATTTGAGATTAATACATTTGGCACACTACAGTGAGAGTTGTTATCCACAAGTTGAGATAAAAGAAGAATAAAGAAAAAAGAATGCATGCTTATCAAGTGACCTAGTCAAAGTTTGCTAAAAGAAAACACACACTGTGTTTGAATCGTGACTATTTAAAGGATTTTCTCCCCAGCGATGTTGGATTTGTTGCTGCAAAGGGTGGCACAATCAGTTATTAGGTTTAGGAGGACAGTTAGTGTTTTACTTCAGCCAGATTTGCTTGAATAGCGTTTTTTCTCTTTAATATGCATCTGCATTTTGTATTTACTCTGGCTATCTTCTAATAAAAAAAAAAATTGTTTGATCTGGAATATTTAGTGGTGACAATAAAAATAAAAACAGGATATTTCTAGACAGTCCCTTCATATGGCTGTAACTAATTAAAGTAAGATCTAATTTCTTTCAAGTTGTTTTACAAAGGCATCGTGGTCTCTGATTTTTATGGTGATAGTTCCAGTGAGTGAGTTAAATACACCATACAGATGCTCAAGTTAAATTAGCTGAGTGCAGGCAGGTCTGCTTTTTAAAAGCGGTGGAGTTATAGTCACTCTGAAGCAGGATTTATCTTCTCTCCGTCTCAGAAGTCAAGTTATTACATGCGCCACCTGGTATGAATTTCCAATAAAACGGAGCTATTCAACGATATGGTTCACATTCAACCGCAGTTTGCTATGGCGATATTAACAGTTGTTTTGTGAAATATGCATACTGGTACAGTTTTGTTTGCCCCAAATTGCCTTTCAAGTTGTGGGATATTGCTTTGTGTTTTCATTTTTGAGGATCTGCATGGACCCATGATCAGATTTGATTAAGGAGGGACCCAGAGCTAATTTGATTAGATTATTTAGTGGAAATATGTGTTTGGTAATAAACATTTATTACGATGAAAAAGTTTACTTTAATAAGCACGCAAAGCCCAGAGGACATTGAAGCTTAATTGTTAGGTGTTTAATTGCAATGTTGCGATGCTGCCAAGATAATGGGCAAGGAAAGGCCCTCAAGTCAAGGCAATTAACCAAACAGTGGTTTGATTGTTGTTAAATTGATTAGAAAATGTTTAAGTACTCTGTCTGTAAATTAGCTATTGTTTCACGCAGTTTGCGACTGGCAGAGAATGCTGGGCTTAATGACACATACGCTCTGAGTTAGTAATGGGAAAAGTTGTTGCTCAGGTCAGGTTGCTCTCGTGAGTAGTGATGCAGCTTTATTAAATGCATCTAATTGTGCCTTGGTGGAACTGATGTTTGTCTGGATTAGTGAGGCCCAGGTGGTTACCTGGCTCCCACAGGGAAAAAGGAATCATCTGGATATGATGAATGGGGAAGACGACATGTTTGATATCTGGAAGTGGAATAAAACTTCAGGCTTCGTCTGAAACATGCAGAAGATTGACACGTTTTGTTGTGTTTAATAGCTTCATCTTCCAACTGTTGATCAGCTGTTGCAGACAAAGCTGGTGACAGATATGGCACTTTGTGTCTGCACAGAGTTGCCCAGAGCGACAGCTTATGGAGACTCGCAGAAGGAGGTGCAGGTTAAAGCCAATTTGTTTCCTCGCCCCAGTATCTGTATTTTCCTGATTAGAATAGTGGAGAAATCCACGGCTGGAGGCAGGCTTTATGACCATTACAGCCCCACATCTCCCGACTCATTAGTACTTTACAGCCTAGCACCATAACATATGGCAGAGTTGTTACCGATTCCCATTTGAGGTGTGTTTCAAACGGCCGTCCCTTGCTGAGCCACAACCCTGTGGCAATGCGCTTTCTTATGGTGTTTGAGGAGAAAATAAACATCTGTTCCAGCTGAAGTTTTGGTGTAAATCTTTTCGGTCCCTGTCACCACAAAATATGCACCTCAGAACCAGTGGCACTGGAAAGAAATTAATCTTTGTGCCTCAGCAGTGTGTGCTGCTGTTTTTCTTATTTGTTTCACACACATCTTCATTTAAGCAAAAACTAACTTGCATGTTTTAAGTGGAAAAACCAATGTGGGTGTTGGGTGTCTGGTGGGTTTTCTTTTATCCATTTATATTTGAATGTAAGCATGGGCCATTATGAGATTTTCATGATGGAAATACCAGAATTTAACAACATTAAATCAGAACATTTATTCAAAACATGATAAAGCTACATTTCTTTGAATAAGGCTCTGGTCCACATAACCAGAAAAAAAAAACAAGCATTACATTCTTGGGCATCATGCTGAAAGCGTTCATTTGCTTTGATAACTGGCCCGTGTCTACATGTGGGTCTTATGTCTCAATTGTGTATCCCTGGGGATCACAATTGATTTAGCTGCTCTAAATCAATTGATGATCACTTTATTATTTAGGATCATCAAGAATCTGGGAATCATTCATTCTTTTCTTTTTCAATTGACAACCAAACATAAAAAAAAAGTTTTTATTTTTTTTAATCGGATACAAGAAGCACTCCGACAACTAAAAAAGATCCCTTTTTTCATCTTTAAAATATATAAAAGGAAAAACGGGTTGCAGGAACAAATTTTGTTTCAATAAGCCAATTCTTGTTTTCTAAAACCTAGAAATTATGCTTTGTGAAAAAATTGTGTGTCATCATTGACATCAAGTGTTATGTTACATTTTTGACATGACATAGAAGAAACATTAAATTTTTGGCTAACGTTAAAAGTCTGCCATAACCTACCATGTCTTGCAAAAAATATATTAAGACAAGAGTGCTTTGAATGTACAACTTTAAGCATTATGCAGGTGAATAAATAAAAAGCAGCTTAAATGATCTCCAATTGTGGAAATCTGCATACAAATTCACTTGTATATTAATCCAAAAAAAAAAAAGAACATTTGACAAAATGTCAGTTCTGAGCAAAATATGGTCTTTTTCACCATATTTCATTCAGAACTCACAATCTTCTGATGCTAATTTCCGAGCATGGTAGGATGCACATCTGCTGCAGTTTTCAGGACATTTCTGAATTCAATTTTTTCTTTTTTTTTTTTTTCTTTCCCCAAATGACAAATTTTTTTTATTTTGGTTGTCAGTTAAAAATGGGAAGCAGAAATGATGCACAGATTATTGTGAGGTGTTTAATTCATATGTACAGTACTCAGGATTTGCTCACATGTCTAAATCATAAAAAAGGCACTTCTCCTTGCTGTGAGTCTAAGACATTTAGCATTTCTGCTTCATGGGACAAATTCTGAGAAAAAACTGTACATGTGAAGACACCTAAGATTGGATATGTTCTGAGGTTTGGCGGTGTTTTTTATTTTCTGTTAGATATTGTTTTTCATACTGTGCCCTCCCTCCAACAGAACATACACATAAAAACACTGGCTGATGATATGGTAAGGTGCTTGGTTTCATTTTGCTGTGACTAGCTTTGTTTCACACATTTTTCCCTTGTTTTTCCATGGTTGCATGAAACTTTTAATAAACACCTGTGGATGGATCAAATGTGCCCAACTTTTTACTATTAAACAGCTGTTTAATTCCTTGTAACTGTATTATTTTCATACTATATTACAAAGATCATTTTAAAGACGAATTTAACACTGGATGGATTTTTTCCCCCAATAAACTACCTTAAAGGATAGATTTCTTTATATTTCTCAGGATCAACTATTAAAAATGGACAAATGCATTCAGGAATTTGTAAATACTTTAATTTTAATAATCATTATGAGTCAAACTAGGATCAGTTTGCTAATTATTTAATTAATCAAAACAGAACCAAAAGAAACAAAAATGCAATTGCTAATTGTAGCCTGTAAACTACTGCTGTGGGAAAAAATATGTTTATGGCTTTAAAACTGAGTGTGTAAATCTAACTTCAATCAGACATTTACCGCTCACTCTGGAGTTTCAAAAGAGGGATTGCAGACTTCCATTTTGAATTGTTGTCATTACCACAATTAATACATAAAATCTTTAATATAATTGGAGCGCAAGCAAATGAAGTTTATCTGCCACCATGCTCAGTCACAAGGAAGTGGAAAAAAAGCTCACCGTAAAAAAACCTGTAACAACAAGACAAAACTTGGCACATAGTGATGCATATTGAAACTCACGTTCAAATGTTTACCAGTGGTGAGGAAATGGAACATAGCCAAAAACCTCCTTGATTTCTTACAGTGATGTCGCTAGAATTAAAGCTGATTTATTATCCTTCATTGTTTCTAACAAATACTGTAAACATGGAGTACATTTGATCCATTGAGTCATATTTCATTCTCATCTCATTTGCATGACAGCCCCTATCCCTACTTACCCATTACTAAGTAAACCTAACGGTCATCCTCTCTGCATGTGTCCCATGTATGTTTTCTACTCAGAGCTGAACTTTCCCAGATTTATTCATTTAATTAACTGATGAATTTAATAAGGAATGTTTTTAATCGCACACAAGTTGTATTTAATTTTTTGTCCTTGACTTACAAAAAACAGAACAAAACAGGTAATTATATCAAATCTGATGGTAAGTAAAGTCTGAAGATGTCTAATGGAATCTTATCATGTTTGATGCTATTTAAAATTTGTTTTGTATTTCTTTTCAATTTTAAGAATTAAAAATTGTACTGTTTTACATCAGGTTTTAAAGTTTCTGATTTCCCTTCACTTTGCAGACGCAATAGGTCCTCACCCCTATTATGAGGACTTTTTAGCTGTCCTTACAATAGTGGTGTTTAAAGTTTACAGTAAATTGTGCAGAACTAAGTCCTGCTATCAGGACATTTTCCAACCTTCTAAAGTACAGGAAGTTTTTTTTCCAGGCAGCCTAGACTATTTTCTTTCCTATTAAACAGACTTGTTGCAATATTTTCACTTCTCAACTGTTGTTTTCTTGCAGCGTGATCGTATAACAAGTTTTAGGAAAACTGGTGCAAAGAAGGAGAAGCCTTTTATTCAACACCCGACTGATCCCTTCTCTACCCAAGCCGAACTCCCTCTGCCGCAGCCTTTCTTTGACGAGAGATCCATGAACCTCTCAGAAAAAGAAATAGTTGACCTCTTTGAGAAGATGATGGTAAGCTTTGTTTTCCTTCTTCTCCGTCATTTAATCTTGATATTACGGCTCTTAAGTTCACTCAATAAAAAAGTCCAATTTAGAATGTTTCATATAAACAGTATGTAGAAGTTCATTTTGAAAAGATGTATTCATGCTTTCTTGTTTTACTGCAGATTTCATTTAGTGTGTAAAACGGTGTTAATATGAAAATGATTTACATTTTTGAGTTGACATGGCTTTTTCCAACTGCTTAGAGGCAAAAATGAAAATATGGCTTAGTGATCAATCAAGGTCAGATTAAACTGATGCTGAAAAGTATTGACGTACATTTGTGAAAATAGTAGATTTACATAGTCAACTCTAACTCATTTCTTTATAAATCAATATTATAGAGGATCAGAAAACTTTCAGATCTTGAATATAATTCATGACCTTAAAGAAGCTGCCCAAACTTGTTGCCATGAAGACCAAAATTGTCTTGTTAAAAGCTCATGTAAACCACAAAAAATATATATATTTTTTATTAAAAATACAAAATGATTTTTATTATTATTTGCTCAATAACAAAATAACCATGCAAGATTTAGGTCAGCATAACTGCCTCAATTTTGTGATTTCTTATTATGTGTGTGAGTAAAAGTTGTTGATGTTTGCGCTTTCTATTTATTATCAAACTACGATGAATGCAGTAGCCTGGTTAATGGATGAGTAATAATTTATGTCGTACCTAACCAGCAGATAATATCACTTCAGACCCCACATATCCAAAAACCAGCTGCCACAGAGACAGTTTCCTCCCTCAGGCTGTTAATCCAATTGACAGAATGAACACCGTACAGCCAGAGTAGTTAGCTACTGTGTTGTAAAACAATATATGCATATTTGCACTATATTTTAGCATGTAAATTATGTATATATTTATATATACATAGTGTTGTATTTTTATGCTCCTAAAAGTTTGCATATTTATATTCGATGTCTGTTTAAAGTGAAATTCCTTGTTTATGCACATAAACTTGGCAAAAAAAGCTAATTTTGATAACACTATACACTCCATTATAATTCCATTATTAAGACTTTATTTTTCCGTACAAATGTTGGCCTTAAAAAAAAGAAACAACAAAATATGTCAGACTAAATCAGGACAAATTTACCATGAAGTTAAAGAGTGAAAATATTACCCAAAAACTAAAGCTCAGATGATTGAAAAGTTTATTAAAAATATAAATCAAATTGTGATGCAAGTTGAGATAATTGTTGTTAAACACGTGAACACAGATTAACTAATTCCATTCCAGTTTTGGGAATTAGTCAGTGTGAGTTTCCAGGCATGCCAGGATGCTGTTTAGTGGGCAGGAGACATCGTCGGTGATGGAGAGAGAAGTTTTGAAAATATCCTTCACTGCATACAGATGGCTCGCCTCCACCCAGGTCTGAGCCGGCTTAATCAATTTCTGGAGTCTGTTGGTGTTGTATGCCTTCAGGCTGTTTTCCTAGTAGTCCTCGGTGTGGTAAATGGCACAGGCCAAGACAGATTCATGTAATGCCGGCAGTCCATGTTATTTTTTTCAACCCCCTCACCCAACCATCAAAAGTCAGGAGATTCCTCAGGAGGCTGGACAGAGCAGTAACTCAGTTCTTTTTTTCAGAAAGCAGTATTGTAGTTTTCATTCTTTTGTGCTGTGCAAAACAGAGATTGATGCATGTGTCATCAAGGATTTAAATGCCTTTTAATTTGTGACTAGGGGAAGTCTGGAGCTTCCCAACGACTTAACCCCGAATTGAGTGGAAGATAACATGGATTGATGTTAAAAAAAAGTGAAGCTTTCCTCTGTTTTTGAGAGCCTCTGACAAGTATCTCTGGATTTTGCACTTTCTCAACACTGGAATGACTTTCCCCTTCTCTGCCGTTTTATATAATTTTCATTCATTTAAAGCACATTTTCCATAGATATTTATTAAAAATTATTGTTGTTATTTGTAAGAGATCGACAATTAGTCGGTAACTGAACTCTGATCCAGAAATGCAAAGCATTATGAGGAATGTAGGCAGAAGAAAGCCTTTAGCCTAGGGGTAGGCTATCCTGGTCCTCGAGAGCCGGTGTCTTGCAACTCTTGGATGCCTCTCTGGTCCAACACAGCTGAATTAAATCACTGAATCACCTCCGAAGTGCAGTCAGGTTCTCCAGAGTCCTGCTAATAACCTCATTATTTGACTCGGGTGTGCTGAAGTAGAGACGCATCTGAAAGTTGCAGGAGACCGGCCCTCGTGGCCTGGAGTTGCCCACCCCTGCTTTAGCCACTCAACACCTCACTGCCAGCTAAGCAAGGTGGGTGGGATCAACTAACCCGCACTTTGGTTACCTTGCAACTCACTCACTGTAAGGTTACCAAGCTACAATCTGCCGAGTAACTTGTTCAGTAGCAGATCAAGGTTTTGCCAATGTGTCACATAACTGCTTAAAAATAAACGACGTGGAGTGAACATTGTTGATAAAACAGGAAAAGTCGCGCCTCCAGTTTGGCAGTGACACTGATTTTTATAACAGAAAAATAAGTCGGTAATTATTGATACCGTCTATGAAACACTTTTTTCAAATGTTTATGTAATATTTGTGGCTCAAAAGTTTCATTTAGCTAGACCGGGGTCAAGAAATGTATTTCTCATCACAGAAGTAATTTGTTGCTTACGAGGCAGTACAATACCTTAAAGCTACCATAAACTCATAAAGACAAACAAAGGAAATATTCTACATTCATTAGAACTGGTAATGTGGAGCTTTTAATATACTTCTTGGTCTTATCAGTCTGCTGGGGCCCCTCGATGAGACCCGTTTTCTTGTTATTCAAAATTACTTTCAAAAATTACTCGCATAAAAAATGTGCACCTAAGCAGTGTCGACATTTACACGAAACCAACCGAGCACTGTTTCACATTGCCTGACCTCTGAATGCTTCCAGGAACCTGAATAACGCTTCATAAAATGTATTTCTTTGTTTTAGTAAAGCTACAAATAGCAGTCATTCTGACAACTTTCTGTCAAAAGCCAAAGACTTTTTCTTTTTCTTTTGGCGTCATGGCCTTGGTCCAAAAAAAATTAAATGACTTCTTTTACAGCTTGTACACTTTCTTTAATTCAAAGTACAACTAGACTGAGTCATGTTTTAACCTTTGACCATGACATAATCAGTTGCTTTTATGCCCACAATGCATGGTTGTCCTTCAGGGGGGAGACTTTTGCTTTACAGTTTCTGGAAGTACAGAAAATCCAGTTTTAGTTCTTCCACCTTGAATTATAATCCTTTTATAAACTGTTTACTGTACTTTGTTGGTGTATTTTAAACCCAAAACACTTCAGTGCTTTTAAAGTAGTTTTTCTTTCATTTAGTTATTAAATCATGAAATGAAGCAAACATCCTTTTCTAACTTCTAGATGTATTTTTAAAGTATTAAAAACAATTTTAGGGTTGCTACTGATGCACATTTTAAAATAGTCATACCAGTGTTTTGTTGGATGTTGAATGATGCATCACTGACATGCTCTTTGTCTGATAGTAATACAATCACCTGCTCACTTCTACTTTTGATCCTGTTGTTCTGTCTGTGTCCAGCATAAAAAAAGGATCTTCTGTGCTTTTATATATCATGAAGCCATCCATTCACTTGTCTGCCATTGTGCAGCCCCTACAATGCTGCCTCCAGAGTGTGGCATTCAGGCTTCCATCCACATTCTTTTCTTTCATCATAGCTGTAGAAGCCTGAGTGTTGCTACTGTCAGCTCTTGTCCTCAGGCTTTCACCATCATCTCTTTTGTGCTTCCTCATCTCAGTGCTTGAACTCCAACCAGTAATGTCCCCCAAATTGAGTCAGGTTTTATCGTTTGGGTTGTCTGACATGCATTGCCTTGCTGAAGTGTTACAACCCCTTGAACATTTTCATATTTTGTTGAATTGCAGAAACAAACTTCAGTGTATTTTATTGGAAGCATTTTTTATGTGATAGACAAACTAAAAATGGGACCTCAGGAAAATGATACGTAGTTTTTCACATTTGTGACAAATAGAAAATACTCAAAATGGGTGACATGAATTAACTTTGATGCCCTTAAATCTCATGTTCTCCTGCCATATTGATTGAGTTTGAGCCATAGTGGACCATTATTTTTCTGTTTTACTTGAATTCAAATTATTTGCAATTTTTTGCAGAGCATATTTAAATTATTTGACAGAAAATTTAGCTTGGGATTTGTACATGACACACTTTTGGCTGGTGTTTGCAAAGTAGTCACTCCATTAAATTTTTTTGGTGCTGATGGGCTCTACTTCTCTACTTCTATACTTTAAGTTTTGGATATTATTTTATTAACACTGCATTACAATTCTCCACAACTTTCTTCATAACAGTCTGTTGTGGTCTTTAATTTAGATTTATTTATTTTTTAAAATCCTGGAAATGATTGATCAATCATTTTTTTTCCTTTCATTTAGCTACTGTGCTCTGCTTTGTGTTGATCTTGTAAAAGTTCAATAACCTCCATTAAACTTGTAACTAACCAAAATATAATTGAACAGGGGTATGAACATTTTTGAAAGGCACTCACATTCATATGTGAATATCCAGAGGAGCTTTGGAACACAGTCAACAAGTTGTGATATGCAGCCTAAGACAACTGCAGAGCTTTGTGAACTCGGTTGCATATTTGCATGAGCCTTGCAGTAAAACAACTCTCCAAGGACCGAAAGCGATTGCTAATCTCATTCTGCATTGAGAGTTGCAAATAAACTGCATCCAAGGCCCATATTTTCTTACAGCAGCAATGACTCACAGCATCAAATGCAACCATTTGACACTGTCATGTTTGTAAAACCATTGTTCTTAGAACAAAAGGATCTTTGGCACAAGGATTTAGATTTAACATTTTTTTGTTGTTGGTTTTTATGCCATTTGCTGACAGATTTAGTATAAGACATTTTAAATATGGTTTTCAGTTTTGGATTTAAATGGCTAAATATCAGCT